TCAGGGAAAAGAAGAAATCACACACACACTGAAAGCATTGTTCAGCAGGTCTAAAAAGACATAGACAACGAAGAGGAGCATAGGAAAATGATGAAAACCTTGAATGAATATAGAAAGGAATTACAATGCATGAAACAGATTCAAAGAGAGATGAAGGAAATTAAAAATTCAACCGAAAGCTGGCAAAACTGCTTGAAAGAGACTGAAGATAGATTTTTCAAACCTTAAAGACAAGATTGCAGCTAGTCATGGTGAAAGGAAAGATCTCTTAAAAATAAGGTTGAATCAGGAAATAACAACTCAATGGCTGTAGGATGATGCAAAGAAGGATAACTTAAGAGTGATAGGTGTTGGTGAAGAAGCAGGGTCAACACAAATGAAATTAAAAGGATATCCACGGAAGTAATAGAAGAAAACTTCCCAAATATGGGAAATGGACCTGGCATGCAGATAAGTAAGGCATATAAGAATCCAACTAGGCATAACCAAAGTAAATCTACATCCAGACATTTAATAATCAAGATCCCAGAAATTCAGCACAAGAACAGAATATTAAAAGCTGTTAAAGAAAAGAGACAGATCACCTGTAAAGGAAAACCAATCAGAATCACAGCAGGCCTGTCAACACAAACCATCAAGTCAAGAAGAGTTTGGAGTGAAGTGTTTCAAATCCTGAAAGAAAACAACTTCCAACCCAGATTGATCTACCCAGCAAAACTATCTTTCAAAATTGGTGAAAAAATAAGATGCTTCCCTGATAAAGAACAACTGAAGGAATTCATGACTACCAAGCCAAACCTACAGAGTGTGCTAAAGGATATTCTAGAGAGAGGTAAAGATGGTTCCAGGAACAGCAGCAGAGGAGGGTCGCCAAACAAGGCAGGCAATTGAATAGAGAGGAAAAGTGGAGGGCCAACAATAGAAGGATAGAGGGCAGACACAAACCAAGGTATGCTGGTTGTAACCATTAATGTACACAGCCTCAGGTCAGCAATAAAAAGAAACACAGGGAAAGTAGACCAAGAAACAAGATCCACTGATACACTGTACACAAGAAACACATTTAACTGGAAAGGAAATTTAGACTGAAAATCAAAGGAGAGAAAATAATTGTTCCGTGTGACAGGAGACCAAAAAAAAAAAAGAACAAGAGTAACTTACCCTGGGGCTGGGGATTTGGGGATTTAGCTCAGCAGCATAAGCACCTGCCTTGCAAGCAGGCGGTCATGAGTTCGATCTCCAGTACTGATTAAAAAAATAAAAATAAAAATAAAAAAGAGTTAACTTACCCATCATCCAACCGTAGAATGGATAAGAATTCATGCAGTGGAAAGCTACCCAGCTATAAAATAGAATAATCTCAAGGCTCCTGTAGGTAAATAGACACAACTGGAGATCATGTTCACAGCCAAAACAGTTTAAAATCATACACATGAATCCTGGCATAAGAAACAGAAAGAGTTAATGGGATCCAAAAGCAAAGTAGTTAATGTAAGAAACATCTGAGAGAGAAAGGAGGAAACTATTGTCAATTTCTTATTGTCTTATCTTGAACTCATGCATTATTTACACAATTTTGTTAAGATTTGGCTTTGTTCTGTCTTATTTTGTCAGATTTTATGCTGTCACATGGTAGGGGCAGCTATTTTGAATATATTGGGATATATTATGGTAGTCATGGCTTCCTATTATATTGCTTTGAGGATTTATAATGCTTTCATTCATTGGTTGGATTGGTTTTATTCTGTTTTGTTTGGTTTTATTATGTGTGATGGCATGAACAGCTACTTTGAAGAAAACAAGACATCATGGCAGCCACTGCTGATTTACTATCATCTTGTTTTGAAGTCCTACCATGCTTATGTTCTTCTGTTTTGATTGGTCCTATCCTGTTGTACTTTATTTGATTTTATTATGTGAGATGGTATAAACAATTTTTTTGAGGAAAATAAGATATTGTTGTAGCCATTGTTTATTTCCTATTATTTGGTTTTGAAGTCCTATAATGCTTTCATTCTTTTGAATGGTTTTATAGTATTTTGTTATGTTTGATATTATTGTGTGTGAAGGTATGCTCAACTATTTTGAAGAAAAGAAACATTACGGTAGCTACTATTGATATCCGATTGTCTTGTTGTGAAGTTAAGTGCTGTGTTGCTTACATTATTTTGTTCTCATTTGCTTTGTTCTGTTCTCTTTTGTTTTATTCTCTTTAAAATTAAAAAAATAAAGTTAGGAAGAAAAAAATGAGCATTTATTTAAAAATGAGAAAATAAACAAGGGAATACAAATTTTAAGGCCTTTCAAATGCCATAAACATCACAGAAACCAGAAAATTAAAATGTTTTAAATGCCCAAAATATCTCTGTAATTCTCTTTACCTGCATTTTTACTAAGACAACCTTCTATAATATTCTCCATAGAAATAAAAAGCTTTTGATCCCCAGTACCAAAACAAGAAATAAAAAGCTAATACAGAGCCAGATGTAGTGGCACATGCCTGTGATCCCAGCAATCAGGAGGCTGAGGCAGGAGGATCACTGTGAGTTTGAGGTCAACCTGGGCTACCTAGTGAGAACTTGCCTTAAAAAAAAAAAAAAGGTAACTCAATCTTTTCTCTAGCATAGTTATTAAAGTGTTTTTAAATTATTGATAATTTAGAAAACTTACTTTAAATTTCACCATCAGTTGAGATATGTATATGCACTGTAAAATATCAAATGTGGACCTACATACATGTATCTTCATATATATGTGCACATATACACATATAAATTTAGCATTTCCCCTAGCCATATTAATCAAAACTTGTTTTGTGATCATTGACAGTTTAGGAAAGACTCTTTAGACTTCACAATTTGTTGTTGCTCTTTATGTATCTGTTGTAAAATGTCAGATATGGTATCTATGCTGTAAAATGGCAAGACATTTCTCAAAAAAGTCTCATAGCCACCTAGACACCCCCCTAAATGTGAAGTTTGTCAAAGGGAAACTCAAAGAGGAAAGAGACAAGCATTTTTGTTTTGGTTTGGTTTTTTTGGCACCAGGGATTGAACCTGGTGCTTGGCAGGAAGACACTTATGCCGCTAAGCTAAATCCCCAGTCCAGGAAAGTATTTTAACAATCCTCAAATCACTTGCTCTGCAGATTTCACAAAACCACACGACCACCTGTAAACAGTGCCTTGGAGGAGACCTTTAGAGAAGACTCCTGAGATTGAAACTTTAGGAGATTCATCGTAAATCTGCTCCAAAGAAGAGAAACAGCTAGAGGGAAGTTAGTAGGAAGTTATGTGTGCTAACCATGGTGTTGCGTGCTGGTGAGCAGAAGTGTAAATGGAAAGGCAAAAAGCCAAGATGCTAGACACTTTTCATGAGAAATACCAAGAGGACCGGCTTCTCAATCTCATCTGGGCGGCAGTCAGAGCCAGATACTGATGCCCGAAAGAGTGGTCTGGCCAGGAGGAACAGGGAAGTGCACAGCACCCACTGAGAGTTGGCCTTGCTCTGGCCGGCTGCAGAGTGGGGCACAGCTGCCCCACTGGATCTTGAGGCAACCGGGAGATGCCAATTCATGGAGCTCCTTTTAGTTCTGGGTGAAGGATTTCTGTAAGGAAAACATAAGCCCTCTACGTTTCAGCAGAAAGATTTTCTGAATGAAAAATTTCTCATCTGAGAAAAAAGAAAGAAATGTTCTCAGATCTCCATCCGGACAAGACCACAAGCTGGACGTGGCTGCCTAGGACCCAAAGCTCATGCTGTGCCCGACCTGGCCTCAGCGGGCACACACACTTGACCTTGTCTTTAGCACAGTCCCCACCACTTTTATAAAAGTCAAATATGCCCAGTGGGGTAGGGACAGGGCAAAAAGGCCAACTGATTCACGAAATCACCATCTCTTCTCCGTGGCTGGGCACATTTCCCAAATGAGTTTCAGCGTATCCTGTTGGAAAGGAGTCTAATTCATAGCTTGCTGCTTTCATTTAGCATGTAAACGTGTCCCTACGTCTTGAGATACTCAGAGCGTGACTCAAATTTCACTCGCTAGATATTTCATCACACATTTTTAGAACAAGCTCATTCCAAGAGGTCAAGAGAGAGGAAATAATGCAGGAAATCCAAAAATTAAAGTCTGTACTGCCAAACACTATATCCCAACCTGCATGCAGACGCCCTCTGGGCCCCATGAGAGCCTCTTGAATTGCTGGTCTTCCTTCCACCCACCGCTGCACTGGCTTCAGAGTTCATACCGGGAGAGAAAGCACAAATCTCTCCTGCAAAAGGCACAGCCCTGGAAGCCCGCAGGCATAGGCTGCAAGCCTGGCCTGCTCAACCCCTGGGGCTACTTCCTCCTAAGCTGGGCGCCCTAGAGCAGAGCAAAGCCGCGTCTTCTTAGGAATTGCGGGGAGTTCCTCTCTTTCCTTCCCTGTCGCTCTGTGCCCGGTATCCACCACAGCCCCACTACTTCCGTAAACAGGGCTCTAATGTCGGTATCCTAAGCTCCTCAAGCTCTTTTCAAAAACAAGGTTAAAAGCTCACTGTGTGCTCTTGAGCCTTACAGACAACACGAGTTTACACTGCAGGAACAGGACCCAGTGGTGGCATCCAGGCATCGGGGGCCCGAGACCCAGAGGCTGGGGCGCCAGGGCCGCGTGGGGCTCATCGCGGGTGCTAGGTTTGGAGGGATCTTTCCAGAGGGCTCCCAAACACCCCGCCTTCAAGGTGGGGGCCTGGTGGTGTGGGGGACCCCCTCGACTCCCCGGCTCCGAGCCAGGCCAGGCCGGCCAGCACGGCGCTGTTGGGGGCGGGGCTGCGCAGGCCACAGCGGCCGGGCCGGCTGGACCCGCAGCGGCCAGCGCGGCCAGCGCTCCGGGGCCGCACGGAAAGTCCCGCGTGCGGCGGGGCGGGGCGGGGGGGGCGGGGCGGCCGGGAGGGGCGGGGCGGGGCGGCCGGGAGGGGCGGGGCGGGGCGGGCCGGCGGAACGGGCCCGGCTCCGGGCTCTCGGGAAGAGGCGGGCCCCGCGCGCCCTGCGCTCGCCATGGCTGCGCGGGCGGCGACGTGAGCGGCTCGGCGGACCCCACGCCGGGGCCGGCCGGGCCTGCGCCGCCGGAGTCCCTGCGCCCTAGGCCATGCGGCCGCTCTCCCTGGGGCTGTGGCTTTTGCAGTCGCTCTGCTGCCTGGGAGCCGCGGCGACGCCCCCAGGTAAGCGTGGCTGGGACCCCCGCGGCCTCCGCGTGCGCTGCTGCAGAGGGTGGGGCTCCTCGGGGCGCCTTCGGCGGGGTGGGGGTCCCCAGCGTTCCCGGGGCTCCCGATCGATCGGGAGAAGGGGTCCGTGGGCGCCTGGTTCGGGAGGAGCCCGCGGGAGCCGGCGGTGCGTCGGGTGGCGGGCGGGGAATTCCGGGCGGCGCCGTGCGGAGGAGCCGCGGGACAGACGTCGCCTCTCCCCGCGCCCTGGTCCCCGGAACTCTTCCCAGAAAGGCGGCAGTCACGCGGCCCCGCATGCAGCGGGACGAGCTCCCGCACGGCTTCCTCCGCCCCAGCCATCCGGGGACTGAGTGCTCCAGATTTCTCAGTATTACCGAAGTAACATCCGAAACCAAGGCGAGGGCAGCTCCTCCGGGGCCCGGATTCCGGGCTGCAGCTATAGTGAGCCCGACCCTGTGGCCCCCGGGGCACCGACCTTGAAGCCACGCTGGGTGCTTATTTAAAGCCTGAATCTGACTACTCAGGGCCAGGGACCTCGGTCATGAGTGTATGGCCAGGACCAGTTCTTACTTTAGCCTCGGTGCGAAATTCGAAGTTCTCCAGGGTCTCATGCGCTGCTGGCAGAAATGCCCCACCGCCTGTTCTACGGATAGCAGCTATAGGGGAGCCCGCCTGTACAGTCCCAGCTCTGCTGCCCCGGAGGGCCCCTTACCGGGGCTCAGACTCCTCTCTGACACAAATTGATGATAATTATGAGCTAAACATCAAACCTAAAGGAAAAGGCTTGAGTGACCAAGAACCTTCTCTCTGTTGATGTGAAATATGCTTTGGCTGGGGTTTTCCCAAACTTAGAGACAATGCCAGTTACACCGCATGTACAGTCTCGGGAATGTAAAAGTTCCTGCAGTTGCTGGGTGTGTTGGGGTTTAGCTCTTCTACCAGCAAGCCTCAGACAAGCCTGTGAGTTTCCTCTCTCCTGGGGGAGGAGGGGTTTGCAAGGGAACTTGCGTCTTGATTGAATGGTTATTTTTTTCATGGGAATCAGATAAATAGATTTGAGTCCTGATTCTGCTACTCCCCAGCTTCACAATTTAAGCAACCCCCACACACCCCTTCTTTCTTTATCAGGTGGCATCTGGTAATTCCGGAGTTATGTGATGGGAACACGGAGGTCCTTGGTATCAAGGCTTCAGAGGGTGTGGCCCTGGCTTGGGGCAATCCATGCACTGTTTTTTTTTTTTTTTTTTGTCTTTTTCATTTTTATCGGTACCGGGGATCGAACTCATGACCGCCTGCTTACAAGGCAGGTGCTTATTCCGCTGAGCTAAATCCCCAGCCCCGGTGCACTGTTTGTAATTCACACTCCAGTGAATCTTGAGATTCTTCCAGCATCCCGGTGCCTGTGCATCTTTCTAAGGACTGATTTTTGTTGTGTTCCACGGCAGTATTGTCTCATGCCCCTAGATGTACAGATCCTTTGGAAAGTAGCACTTAGTACAAATCACTTAAAAATAAGCAACTTGAAAGTTTTCACATGAAATAGTTTTTTTTTTTTAAAAATCCCAAGACATCTTTAAGAGAAATTTGTTTAGTTAAAACACAAAGTGAAAATATCAACAATGAATGGCAAATAGGTATTGGAAAAATTTTCACACTTCTGTAATTTACAGTTGTCCTTCAGAAATCCATACAATGGCTGCTTCAGTCAAAGGCAGAGGAAACCTATTAGAAACAATTTTTGAAAGAAGGATTTATAATATCTACTCCTAGAGCTGTTACAAGGATAGCATATGTAAACTATTAGACCTGACTTACTTTGTAGCATATTTAAGTGGTAGCCATTTGCTCTAGATAGAAAACATAACCAACAGCATGAAAATGTAGAGAGTCAAGTAGCTACTTAGTTACTTCGTTAGTTAAGGTATCTGTTTATCATGGGGTGGCTGCAGCTGCTTCATGTTCCAGTGGATTGTATAGGTATCCACAATGCAGAATTTCATTGCCTTTATTGCCGACTGGAGCATCCAAACTTTCCAATGTACTTAGAGACCACTGGCAAACAGTAAATCTCCAAGGACATAAAAACCACTGCACCTCAGGTAGCCCCTTCTGTTTGTAATCTCAGCAACTGAAACTGTCACAAAGCTGGGATGCTTCCGGCTAACTTAATAAATGGTAATGTTAGCTATAGTTCTTAAGGCAAGGTGCTAAGCACTTTGTATATATTATCTCAGCCATTCTTTTGAAATGGATAATCTCCCTGCTTTAAGAAAGCAAAACTATTGCTTGTGGAAAGAACACATGATCTAAGTAAATAACTTGATGTCCTGTGTTTACTGAAGAGAGTGGCTTCCTGGTGGTGGCTGAGAAATGGGAAGTGTTTTCTTCTCATTTTTAGGGTATGGGAGGTGAGATTGATGTTCATCATAATGCTGCCTACATAGAAAGATCTTGATGGGTTGGTCCAGGGTTGTCAAAATTAAATCGTTGGCTCAGCGTGGTGTAACCTCAGCACTCTGGGAAGGTGAGGCTGGGGGAACTGCAAGTTCAACTAAGTGACTTAGTAACACCTTGCCTCAAAATAAAAATCAAAAAGGCATACGGTGTAGTGTAAAGGTACTGGTTTGGATTCCCAGTATAAAAACAAATGTTTGTTGGTTGGTCTTTGTTGAGACAAGGTTTCACTATGCAGTTGAGGCTGGCCTTGAACTCACTTCGTAGGCCAGGCTGGCCTCAAACAGCAATTCTCCTGCCTCAGCCTCCCAAGAATTGAAAAATAAATAATTTTTAAAAGACCAATTTAATACTTATTTTATTATATGTGTGTACTGTGTTAAGCAAACCATGCTGTTCAGATCCAGGATAGTGTATTCATAAATACATACAAAGTCTAAAACATCTGGATCTAGGGTAGATCAGGGTGTTGGTTAGGTGTTAGCAAGGCCGTGTGGCTATCAGGTGCACAGAACACAATTCACTCTCCTATCTCTCTTCTCCTTAATGGTTTAGGAATCACTGTGCACAGGACCATGGAGAAGGACCATGAAGTGGAGCTCTGTATCCCTACTAAGCTTCATGGGTCCCCTGGTGCTCACCAGTAAGGACTGTATCAATTTTCTGTATTGGTGGTACACATGCCACCGATTTAGTGGTTAAAACAGCACAGACATGTGATCTTATAGTTCCAGAGGGCAGAGGTCTAATTTGAGTTTCACAGGACAGAAGTCAAGGTTTTAGAGGCCCTGGCTGAAGTTTCCCTGTCTACACAGCTCCTAGAGAAACACCCGGGTGCTTGCTTATGTTGGGCCCGCCCAGACAGTCCCGAGTAATCTCCTACTTTAAAGTCCTCTAATTAGTTCAGCATATGCAGAGATAGGGACGGCTATCACAAAGAGAATGAGAGATGCGATGGTAGTTGGTATTGTCTTCCCTAATTTGGAACTTGAGGACCTAAAAAGACTCCATCATCCTGAAATGATTTGATTAGTTCTATAATATGCAATAAGTATAGAAAGTGGGTGAAGTTAGGGACAACTATTTGTAAGAAGCTAGAGACAGTTAGATAAGGTAGATCTCCAGTGGACTTGCTTTGAAATCTGTATTTCTTTAAATTGTTTTTTTATTTTTTTTTAAAAAATGTTCTGTTCTGTTTTGATATGGTTAACGTTATCCTCTTAGAGATGTAAAACAAATAGGTGGGACTGATAATCATATTACAGAGCTTTTGTTCGGCCATAGAGCAGAATGGTTTGTAGGGTCATTTTTTTTTTGAATGTCATTCTATATACTTTAATTCTATAACCTGAACAGCCATTTCGAAGATGACAATTTGTAACTTATCAACTGGCAATTTCTTACCTTTTGTTTGTCTGTAATTTAGAATTATTTCTACCCTTTTTTTTTATTTCCATGTATTTTTTTTTCGTTTCCTTTTCTTTAAATAAAAAAAAAAAAGTCCTCTAATTAGGCACCTACATTTTATCTGCAACCGTCATTTCCCTTTTTCCATGTAACCTAGATTATTCATAGAAGGCAAGGTTTCCAGAGAAGGATGCACTATGCTGCCTGTGACAGATCAGAATCATTGAATTCTGTGCCGGTGTGGGGCAGCTGCAGGCGGCATCTTGGGAACTGCTGGACACCTGCAGAAGCAGCTGTTCATTCATGGAGAATCAGGAAACCCTAACATTGTCCCATCTCAAAAGTGAGACGTGGAGAGCAGTATCTCATCCACCTTTCCTTTATGGTTCTGCTGTGCCCCTCACAATTCTGCAAGAGGGAGTATTGTTTATTTGTGATGAAATTGAGACCAGGTGAAACTCAGCGGGGCTTTGGGATCATAGCTCTGTGTCAGCCCTGGATTTCATGGTACCGCCTGTCTTGGCTAAATGTTTAGGCCGGGGAGCTGGGTGCTGAGGAGCTGGGGGGCGGAGGGGAGTAGAATATTCCTGCTGGCTCCTTGGAAGAGGATGGGAGATGGTGCAAGGGCAGTGAGGTTGGCCCTAATGGTCTCTGAGGTATCCACACACCAGCCCCTGTACCTTGAGGATATCAGACCTGACCTGACCACAGGGACTTGCAGATATGATTAAGTTTAAGATCCTGAAATGGGGAGATGATCCTAGATTGCTGGACCACATGGGCCCAGTCACAACAAGAGTCCTTGAAAGGCAAGAAGGAGACAGAAGAATAGCTGGGCATGATCGTGCACACCTGTAATCCCAGCACTCCGGAGGCTGGGACAAAAGGATCCTTGTGAGTTCAAGACCAGTCTGGACAACAGAGTGAGCACAAGGCCAGCCTGAACTGCACAGCAAGACCCTGTCTCAAAAAGATAGAGAGAGAAGGAGAGAGAGAGGGAGAGAGAGAAAGAGAGACCGAGCCAGAGAGAACAGAGGCACAAGCACTGGGCCAGCATCACACATGCACCTCTAAAAGTGGAAAAGGCAAGGAAACTCATTCTCCCCTGGGTCCCCTAGAGGGAACATAACCTTGCTGACACCTTGGCTTGGGCCTTCGTCAAGCATCTGCTCCTGAGCTGCAGAATGATCCATAGGGCCGCCCTTAGGAGGTCTAGGTTTGGAGCAATGAGCAGGGCTGCATGCAGGTGGCAATCCAGGGAAGAGCCTGTCCCGGAATCAGCCCTCCTTCCCTGCACTCCTCAGCTTGCCAGGTGAATGGGGAGAGCACAGCTGGCCCCATGCACAGCTGGCCTGAAGGCAGGTGGAGCTGGCAGGGAAGGAGCCTGACCCCGTTCTGTGGATAAATAGCAGTTATGAGTCACTGAGAAGCCACCTGGCCCACGGGCTCCTCATTGTTGGATACACTTACTGAAAATGTGTGGTTTGAATTTCCTGCTTCGAATTCTGGTGCAGCGTGTTCTTTCAACTTTTCTTTTTGTCTTCTGAGCATTTCTCATTAGCATTTCAATAGGAGAAAGTGTGACTGTTGTCATGATTTCGCTCTGAGGAAAAGGCTCCTAGGCTTTCTGTCCTGCGGTATCTGCTTGGTGACCTTGGTTTTGTTCCAGGTAACCCGAGAGAGGAGGATTCTCTTAGTTTCATTGTTGATGGCTCACAAATTTTTGTGTGTAGGAGTCAGCCAGCTGGGCATGGTGCTGCACACCGTAATCCTCACACTTGAAAAGCTGAGGCAGGAAGACTGCCACAAATTACAGGTAACCCTGGGCTCTAAAAGGCCAGCTTGAACTACACAATAAGACTGTCTCAAAAAGGAAGAACAAAATCAAAAAGAAAGAAAAAGACGAATCTCGGAGAATCTTGTTGAAAAATGCAAATTTCCTGATTGGGGATGGGAGTCTGCGGTTCGTATCAATGACAGTGATACAGGGTTAGGGTTAGGGTTGGGAACAGTGTGACTCTGTTGAAGCATGGAAGATACCTGTTGTCCTTCCATGTGCCTTTGGGCCTTTCCTACCTGATTTTGGGTGTTTGTGTCCCTGTGTTTACCCAAGATTGGGTTAATACATTCACAAACTCACCCATTTAATATTCACCCCACCCCCAAAAGGTATAAACATTACATATCACAAACACATACTAACTTAAAAAAAAAAGAAGCCTAAGTCAGGCATGGTTTCATGCGCCTGGAATCCCAGCACTTGGGAGGCTGAAGCAAGAGAATCATTGTGAGTTCGAGATAAACCTGGGTTACAAAGTGAACTCAAAGCCAGTCTGAACTGCACAGGGAAGCCCTATCTCAAAAATACCAGAAAAAGGGGCTGGGGATTTAGCTCAGCGGCATAAGCGCCTGCCTTGCAAGCAGGCAGTTGTGAGTTTGATCCCTGGTACCGATAAAAACGAAAAAGACAAAAAAAAAAAAAAAAAAAAAAAAAAAAAAAACAGAAAAAAGAAGAAGAAGAAGAAGCCTAGTGTGAAGACGCACACCAGCCTCCGGAGGCTGAGGAAGAAGAATCATGGTAAATTCATGGACAGCATAGGCTACTTAGTGAGTTCAAGGTCAGCCTGAACTACAGAATGAAGCCCTGCCTCAGGAAACAAAGAACAAAGAGGATGAGGGAGAGAAAGGGGAGGAAGAAGAAAAGAGGGAACAGGAAGAGAAGGTGAAGAAAACTTGGCCCCATCTCGATGGGCTGTACATTATCGATCCCTTGTTCCTAAAGAAGAAACCCAGGCTTGGACACCCTACTCAAGTGCACTTACAAGTGGGCGACCTGGGCCCCCAATCCAGCAGATGGAGAGGGTGCCCCAGCGCTCTCCTCCCCCACCCCCACAGTCAGCAGAGACTTCCTTGAAGCTACAAGTGGGGTGGGGATAAGCCTAGGGCAGACAGGTAATACCTTTCCTACTCCTGGGAAGAAATCGGATGTGTGGTTGACTTTGACAGTGTGCATTTCCCAATGACAATGTCTCTCTAATCTATTTCTCTCCTTTGTTCCTCTTCTTTTCCTTTCGTCCTGCCCCCTCTCTTCTCAGACTCTTTTCCCCAGCTGGCTGCTCCTCGGAACCCAAGAATTCGCCTATACAACGCAGAGCAGGTTCTGAGCTGGGAGTCTTCGCCCTCAGGCAACAACACGGGCCCAGTATTCTACCGGGTGCAGTATAAATAGTAAGTGGGCATTTCTGTTGTGTGCTTGCTGGGAGCTGGGGGCAGTTGGTCGTCCCTAACCCTGGAGCCAGCTACCAGTTACCGTAGGAAGAGGTGTTTCTCTTGTGCTTTGAAAGTCTCCAGGGGCAGAGATTTCACAACCTCCCACTCATCCATGGGCCTCACCAATAGGTGCTGGCAGACAGCTGCATCTAACCACCTGACTGTGCACTTTGGTGAAACTTTAGTCTCTCACTGGTTTCTGCTCAAGGGTTGACTTCCAGTCTTAGAAGGCTCCTAGACAGCTTTCAGGCTTCATTTTCAGGTTTAAAATCCTGCTCTGGGCCGGGTGTGGTGGTGCACGCCGATCATCCCAGCATTTAAGAGACTGAGCTAGGAGGATCCTGTGCGAGTTCGAGACCAGCCTGAGATACAAAGTTAGCTCAAGGCCAACTCGAACTGCGTAGCGAGACCCTGTTTTAAAAAGACAATAATAATAATAATCTGCTCCATTTAACCTCACAGGCCACAATTAGCTTGTTTGGGAATACAGTCAGTTAATTACAATGAATTCTTGGTTTCTTAACTGGGTTTCTGATTTGAACAGTTGTTCTACCTCACCTGCCCTGCCTGCATTCATATTTTCATAGTTTGTAGTAAGATAAACTTTTTTTTTTCCTTTGGGTAATGGGGATTGAACTCATGACCTTGCACTTGCCAGGCAAGCACTCATGCTCCTGAGCTAAATCCCCAGGGCCCTATTTTCATAGTTTGTTATCAGGCGATGTACTGTAAGCACAGTAGGAAAGAAGACAGACAAATGCTAAGTCCTCCGTTTTCTTTGTTTACTATATCAAATACTTTGTTTGTTTTTGTTTTTTGCTTTGTTTTGGTTTTGGGTTTTCTTGGGGGGAAATTGATCATTTTGAAGACACAGTTTCACTGGGCAATTCAGGCTGGTCTTGAATTCACTTTGTAGCCCACGCTACCCTGGAACTCACAGCGATCCTCCTGAGTGCTGGAATTACAAGTGTGCACCACCGTGCCTGGCTCACATTAAGTACTTAATTAAAGATTAGGGTAAAATTATTGGTGAAGTCATTTTATATTTAAATTAAATGTAAAGAAATGGTAATCTTAGTTCCTGTGGGAATGTGGTTGATGGATATATGCTTACAGGGTACTGCTTATAGGATTAATCAGCATAGCCCTTTTGAAAAGTAATTCTATACTTATTATTTATACATTTAAAGAGTCACAGGAGTATCTATATTACTTTTTCCCTGAGTAGATAATTGAAGACTGCCCTCCCTCAAAAAAACCCAAAGCAATACTATGTTCACAAAGCTACATGTGAAAGTGCATATTCATGTCAATCATCAGGGAAAAGGATAATTTTAGCATACTAACAATGGATAATGGATACTTTTAGACAGTCATTAAAAAAGATAATACAGCATCTGGTAGAATTTGTGTAAAATTTGGAATGCATGTATACGAATTTGGAATGCATGTATACGAATAAGAAAATTTGGAATGCATGTATACGAATTTGGAATGCATGTATACGAATAAGAAAATCTACAGGCATTTGACTCAGGAAGTGGGGGTCCAGATGGCTTTGGATTCATTTCTAAAGGTCCCCTTTGATTAGGATTCACATTTATCTGTTCCTCCAGTAGTTAAAAATTACATAAGTGGCGCTAGGATGGCTGCATAATTTTCAGGGCCCTGTGCAGTGAAAAGGTGGGTCCTCTTATTCAGACAGTATTAAGAAGTTTAAGATAACAACCACAGGGCACTCAACCAAGTGCATTCCAGGGGTGGCATTGTGTGACTCTGCCCAGGTCACATGGCCTTAGTGTTGGCTCCACGCTTGGCAGTCAGTAAACTGACCTAGAATCAGCCAAGATATTTTTAGTAAGCGGAAGTCACAGCCAATTTACAGACTAACATTCCTTAGCCTTGAACAGAGAAGTACATTTGTGAATTGACTAGAGGCACCGATATAATAATTTTTAAAACTTTATTGACTTTTTTTTTTAGATTTGTCTCACTATGTTGCTGGGCTAGGCTCAAAAGTAGAATCTCCCTGCCTCAGACTCTGTAGTATCTGGGATTAGAGCCCTGGGCCACTATACCTGGCTGTTACTGATTTTTTTTTTAAAGCCCTTTGACAATTTCATATCATAGTCTTGCTTGTTTCACTTTATTTTGCTTTTGGAAAGCATTTTGTAGATATTTTCTCAGGTATCAAGGTTGGTTTTATCAAAGCAAAGTGGAGGCAGGTAGGAAGGAGGTCACTAAAAACCAACACTGAGACCAGTTTTGTTCAGTTATACATGAAATGATCAAAGAGGGGCTTACTGTAGTTTTGCTTTTAGATATGTTTACATGTTTGAAAATTTTTTATTTATGTTGAGGTTAATGGGACTTAAACCTCTCATCCTGTTTCTTTTTTTTTTTTTCCAGTTATTTGCCAATATTAAGAAATCCTGCTTACCAAAACCACAACAGTAATCAAAAACCCTCTCAATTTCTGTTTGCTCTTGGAGACTGAGCCAGGCAGGCAGCGAGCCCTTTGGAGGGCACAGCCCATCTGGACGGCTGCCACAAAGGCTCAAAGCTGCCTGCCCTGTCTTCTCAAATTGCTTTTTTCTTTTTTTCCTTTTCTGATTTCAATAGCAAGACATTTTCGTTAAAAATAAAAACAAACAAAACCTGAAACCCCAGGAAAGTAGAAAAATGAAAATTAAAATCAGCTGTTCTACACTCCAAGAATAACAAGTTTTCTCATTTTATTTATTTTCTCTCTAGATCTTTTTTTCCTCCTAAATGATGTCTCATTTGAAAATGTATATCTGAGTACTCAAAGCTGGGGTTTTATTTTTGGGCTGTGCTCCACCCCACCTTGTAACCACATTTTAAAATGCTCACATTTTTTCATCTGCTTACTAGTATAAATAGTTTTATTGCATACTGAAATATTTCACATGACATACTTAACCTTTCCCCACAGCTGGGTGTAGGCAGTGGACAGCTGGTGTTTGTCCTGCCTCCTCACACTCAAATCATCTCGGAGTGTTTGCCTATGTTTCTAGGACAGGGATTGCTGGATCAGAGGTGAAAGGCTTAGGTAACATTTCCTAAGTGTTCAAGACAGGCTGGACAGAGCTGCTGTGTGACACAGGTGCCCACTCTTGGGGACCAACTGTGAGCTATGGAGTTGGTCAGGGCACCCTCCAGCTGGCCCATTGTGCAGCTCTCCCAGCTGTCTGTCGGCGCTGATGCCTGCCTGACTTTCAGAGTGGTGAAAGGGTAGGCTCTGCCTTGTTCCTTCGACCTCAGAGCGGGGCTCGAGGCGTTGCTGGAGAGGTGTCCCAAGGCACACAGGCTCACAGCACGGCTGCTGGAACCATCAAGACCAATAGAGCCTCCACCCCAGGGACCTTGGGTCAAAAACAAATGCTCCGGTGTAGCAGAGCCAGAGCTTGAGCTGGAATGCCTTGCAGAAGGAAGTGTTCCACGGCACTGCGGTCCCTACCTGAACACTAATGTGCTTGGTCCTAACTTAAGGCCAGAGCAGGCCCAGCAAGGACCGAATGTCTCAGGGTGCAAAATAAGGAAGAAGGTGGCTGGGTGTAGACTCTAAATCTGTCTTTCAGACAGAAACAGGATTCTTTGTCAGACAGATATTTACTTGGTGCTTACTGGACTCTGGGCACTGGTCCAGGTTCTTTCCTGATTTCACCCACTCAGTCATCTTGATAATTCCGGAAGGCAGATCTGAAAGTTCATGTCTCATAGCCACATCCCAACCAGTGCACACTACATGCTGTGCTTCTCACAATGAGGGCTGCTTTAAAATGTTTTTGTTTTGTTTTTTTTTAAACTGGTAAAGCACATCCCTAGGCTGTGGGAGGCCCTGGGTTCGGAAGCTGTAACAGGAGACATCCAGGATGGCTCAGCTTGAGAAGCCAGAGTGACTTTCTGAGTAAATAACCTGAGCCTGGCTGACTCCGGGCACCTGCGACCACTGATGCACACCCTTGAGGCTGTGCTCTGTGTGTTATTCATTGCAGTGAAGCCCGCATCGCCTTAGCTTTTGGCAGCCGTCCAGATGGGCTGTGACCTCCACAGGACCTGCTCAGTCTTTAAGAGCGAACAGAAATTGAGAGGGTTTTTTGTTTTTTCTGGTCAGCAAAATCTCCAGATTTCTTAACATTTTGCCTTCCACCAGCACGGGGTGGGCAGGGGAGCAACTCCTTCTCCCACTGGTACTTTCCCCCAACCTGCTGCTATCCCTGTGTCCAGTGACATTGAACTTCCGGTGGCTTGTTCTCCTTTCAGCCTGTTTTCTGACAAAGATTTTGTAAAACTAGGTCTGAGCAAAGTAGAAGACAGATAAAGAGGAAGTGGGGAGAATTTTTTCACGGGGATGGGGGAACAAGAGATGAAGGGATGGGGGTGGGGAGGAGGGGGGTGGGAAAAAGGAATTGAAAGGGAGAAAAATGAAGAAAATAAAGCTTTTACAAATGGGAAGAAAACCAAGAGTGCAGGAGGACTACAAGTTGGAGCTCCCATGGGGGACTTAGTGACAGGATGGGACCGTCTCAGAATTTAAAACATAAAGATATGGCTAAAAATGTCACTTAGTAGCCAGATGAAGTGGTGCACACCTGTAATCCCAGCTCTCAGGAGGCTGAGGCAGGAGGATTGTTGCGAGTTTGAAACCAGCCTGGGCTACAAAGTGAGCTCAAGGCCAGCCTGAACTGCATAGTGAGAACCTGTCTCTAAAAGACATCACTTAGTGCAAAGGCAGTGGGTCCTATCCTCAGTACCACACATAAAAAAGGAGCAAAGGAGGAGGAGAAAGAGAAAGGGGCCTGGCATGGAAGAAGGGGAAGAGGAAAGCACAGTTCTAAGAGAAAGCTAGGTTTGAGGGAGAACAGGTGATAAATGGTTAATTCCCAGGGTGTCCCAAGAAGGAGCCTCTGAGACCGCTAGAGGGCTTTTATCTAAAATCAGCAGCTGGGATTGGCAGAGGATGTTAGTGTGCCTTTTAGTATCTCTGTATCTTGAAAAATAAATTACCCCATCCGGAGCACACCAACACACCAACACACACACACACACACACTCACACACACCCTAAGAGGAAGGGCCTGTACTTTGACCCTGTCTCTCTCAGGGCCTGATGCAAGGAGTTGGCTGTTACGCATGCGCATGCGTGTCAGGCAGTTTGCACAGAAGCCCTGGAGGCATCTAGAAACAGCTTTCAATTTATAGCCTTCCCCTCAGAGAGAAGATACAGGCCTGGCAGGGTCCCTGGTGTACTTTAAAAGCATGTGTGATACCTGGAGGCTGGTGGCTTGGGGGCAAAGAGGGATCTATGGCTTTCTAAGCCAGAGTCGTCCCTGGAGCCAGGACCAGAGGCTGCTGTGGGGGTGTGGCTTCTGCCTGGAAATGCACCACAATGACAAGGTGTGGCCACGTGGGTCACAGCGGTTTCAGATGAATGTGGCAAGCCCCCTTCGAAGGGGGGCAGCCACAGGACCAAAGCGGAGTCCACAGCAGCAGAAAGTATGAGTGGAAATCATACCACATCACTCCTAAGACAGGCTGCCCCAGCTCAGTTTGAAGCATTCATTTGTCAGGTAGAATGGGAAGAAATATTTGTAAATCATATGTCTGAGAAGTGCCTTGAGACAGCATATGCAAAGAACTCTTACAGCTCAACAACTAAAAGACATAACTGACTAAAAATAGACAAAGACATAAAATGGCCAATAAGCGCAGAAAAGATATGTGAGTGACATTGTTATCCATGACACACCCAGGTGCAGATGCATAGGACAACTTCTGTAATCACAGAAGAACGAGTGTTGGGAGGATATGGAGGAACCGGAACTCCCACCCATTACTGGTGGGAATATGAACTTTGTAAGCACCCTGGAAACCAGTCTGGCAAGTCCTCAAAGACTAAACATCGGTACCATATGACCCAGCAGCTCTACTCCCAGATACAGGCTCCGGAGAACTGAAAATACACATCCACACAAAAACGCATACGTTCATAACAGATGGAACGTGGAAGTACCTGTGGCTACCAAGTGATAAACATATAAACAAAATGTGATCTGTCCATGCAGTGGAATGTTAATTGGCCAAAAAAAAAAAAAAGAATGAAGACGTGCTGTACACTACTAGCTAAGTGGCCCTTGTTACAAGGAACCAATGAACAGCACCAGTCACAAAACACCAGTCATATCCTGTGATTCTATGTTCAGATATGAATCTGTGGAGAATAGAGAAATTTATTGAGACAGAAAGTAGGTGGTTGCCTGGGGCTTGGGGAGGAAGCAGTGGAGGGAAAATGTTAGTGGCTACCAATTTGCTTCATGAAGTAGTGAAAATATCCTAAAATTGGTCACATTTGCATACCCTTGTGCATGTACTAAAACTGCTGAGCTGCGTAATTTAAAAGAGTTGACTGGTATGTTGTTTACTTCTCAATAAAGATGTTTTTATACTTGATCTTTGCCAAAAAGCCAAGAAACAAAATTAAAGCCATTTAAAAAAAAAACAAACAAACCAGTTTCTGGAGACACTGTCATACAGGAAGAAGAGAATTCTGTGAATTGAAATCGTGTTTCCCTCCTCAGCACTGATAGCAACTGGCACAACTCCGAGTCCAGAGAGGCGAACTGTACACGGATCACAGCGACGGAGTGTAGATTCACCACGGCCAGCCTCTCCGGGGGCTTCCCAAAGGACTTCAACGTGTCTCTGCGTGTGCGGGCCGAGCTGGGACCACGCGTATCTGCCTGGGCAACAGTGCCTTGGTTTCAGCACTTTCGAAATGGTAAGCAAACAAGGGCCTTTAGACTTTATTTACAATTTCTTTTTGTTTTTGTCTTTTCGATGCAGGGTTTCACTGTGCAGTTCAGGATGGCCTTGAACTTTCTATGTAGCCCACCTCAGCTGGCCTTTAATTCTCAGTGATCCTCCTGCCTCAGCCTCCCCAGTGCTGGGATTACAGGCAGTATTTGGATTTTAAAAGGGGGTGGTAAAGGATGGATATGATGGTAACTTAACGGATGGTTAGGATGATAGTGTTTCATGTACTTAACACAACAAAAAGGTAGCAACAATTTATATTTTAGAGGTATCTCTAAAGAAGTATATGCAAATGAAATGGTGGGATGTCTGAGGTCCACTCAAAATAATGGTGGGATGTCTGAGATCCACTCAATCCAAAGAGCAGGGCAGACAATAACAAAGCCCATGGACATAAAGAAGATGGGCTATAAGTTGATAATCAACTAAGTTGTATGATTATGATAAGGTTTTATTACGATCATTTCTACTTTCCATATGTTTGGCATTTTCTGTAGTAAAAAGTAAAACAAGAAGAACAGTAGTTTGTGCATGGCAATATCAGTGGCAGAAACAGAGAAAACAGAAGCCCCAGCCAGCTGGTCATCTACTATATTTGTTTGTTTAGAAATAGGGTCTCACTGTGTAGTTCAGGCTGGCCTCACACCCACAGCGATCCTCCTGCCTCAGCCTCCTGAGTGCTGGGGTCACAGGAGTGGGCCACCATCCTTAGCAGTGATCACCTCCTATGGATGGTCTGTTCTTGAGAACCAGCACACATTTGATCTATAAAGTGTCACCTTAATGGAAATTAGGAGCTAAGAAAGTGGTAGATACTGCTGCTGCCCAGGGGACAAGCGATGGTGACAGAAGGGGACCCGTGGTCAGGTGTCAGCTAGCTGCCATCCCTGTTCTCCCACCACGAGGTGCTCAGCCATGTTCATGGTTGGCTACTGGCTGGGTTGGCATTCGCTGCCCTAATTTTCAACTTTGAAGCAAAAGTGTTCTCAAATCTTGCAGACTTAATCTTTCTTTCTTTCTTTTTCAGTACAGGGGATTGAACTCAGGGTCTTCACACTGAGCTCCATTCTTGGCCCTTTTCTCTTATTTTGAGACAGGCTCAGGGTCTCTCTTAATTGCCCAGTCTGGGCTTGAATTTTCTATCTTCCTGCCTCAGCCTCCCAGAGTGCTGGGATCACCGGTGTGTACTACCACACCTGGCTTTTAGCCACTTTTCATAGGGTTAGAACCAGAACCCGTGAGCTGGGCATGATGGCACATGCCTTCATCCCAGCACTCAGGAGGTGGAGGCAGGAAGATCTCTGTGAGTTTGAGGCCATCCTGGGCTATGAAGTGAGTTCAAGGCCAGACTGAACTGCAGACCAAAACCCTGTCTCAAAAATAAATAAATAAATACCAGGGCTATGTGAAGATTACTAAGTAGAGGAATGGATTATAGTTGCAGGGGCTGGGCTTCGCTGTCTCATAAACCTGGTTCAGATTTCCAATGCAGTCATTTCCTGGCTGTGTTACTCTGGACAAGGAATATCAGCCTGGCCTTTGGTTCCTCCTCTGTGACACAGGGGTAACTCTGTATGGCATCTGCACAGGTCCTGTGTGAATACACAGACACCACCACTGGAAGCTGCTGTCACTGAGACCCAGTGTCCCATCCCTGGTGGCAGATCATGCCCAGCCCTATGGGACAGATCCAGGCCTGGCTGGCCTTCAGAAAGGTGCACCTGTGGACATTGTCCTTGGCCACAGCTCATGCCACTCCCCAGAGCACGTGCTGGGAGGTAGGAAGCCTGCAGCTGGTAGCAGCCATGCTGCAGTCACCAAGCAGTGCCGAGGGAAGCTGGAGAATGTCTGTGAGCAGGCGCAGAGAAAGAGCCCTTTGTCCCCAGCAGCCAGGCCTCCAGCCTCACTCTGGCTGGCAGTGGGTTCAGCCAGGCCCTGACTCTGCCCCTTGGTCTCACCTGGACCTGGCTAACCCACCACCACTCATGAGGTCAGAGGCCCACCTGCGGTCTCGGCAGGGACCAGTACTGCAACACAAAGAGGAAGCGGCCAGAGCATAGGCCTGACCCTCCTGGCCACCTGGAAACACCAGGGGTGGGTGTGGAGATGAGTTCCTTAAATTCATTAACACTGTGACACTTGCTTGACAAACACCACCACCTTTCACTCATAGTACATCATTGGTCATGGTGCTTAGCTGTCCTAAGAAGATTCACAGTGGTCACATTTCTGTTAGTATGTTCAATCTTACCGTAACAAGAAGCGAAGACACAAACATTCTTACAATAATAAATATACGCCAGGGTGGTGGCACACACCTGGAGTCCCAGCTACTCAGGAGGAGGCAGCAGGAGGATCACTTGAGAATCCTGGGCAACACAGTGTGACTTTGTCTCAAAATAAATAAAGTTAGTAATAAATAAATGAATACAGGTATATATATAACTTTGCTGACTTCTGTGGGAACTTTATGATAGGTGAGGGCTAGCTAACCCTGTGAAAAGCTGACCCTTGCTTAACCCTCCACTTCTGTTTCTCTGAGAATCTAGTTGTGTTACCGGTGTCATAATCAACCCCGATCCAGGTAGCCTTGCTTGTAGTCAGTCGACCCCTGGTAGGAAAAGAGTGTCTGCCGGGACCACCTTGAAGACTTGGTGGGAAGAGTGATTCTTGTAACTGGCCAGAAAACAACTTGTGTGGAGTTGTCACAAGCGATAGTGGCTCTAGCGCCTGTCAGCAGGGGAGGGTCCTGCGCCTGCCCCATGTGATCTCAACTCCCTGGACCGAGCTGGCCCCAGGGGCCAGAGAGCCCTGCTCTGGGCCAAGTGGAGAGGTGCCTTCCACTTGGAGGTTTACGTCCAAACCCTTGTCAAGCCCAGCACGCCTCTTGGAGGCTTACACATCTGTACAATCTCAGCTCCTACAAAGGTAAATGCGTGTGTGCTCACATTCACACACTGGGTGTACACTCTGCACATATCTATCTGCACAGTCTGCACACGCGTGTATGTGCGCCCATGTTACACTTTGGTTTGTACTTCTGTTTCAGTTACCATTGGGCCTCCAGAAGACATCGTGGTGACCCCAGGAGCAGGCTCCCTCATCGTCACGTACTCTGCCCCCTTCGACACCGGGAGCCCCACGGAGGCCACGTTTTCCTACATTGCCAAATATTGGGAAAGGGGTAGAACGCATAAGGCAAGAGCATTTTGCTTCTTTGTTTTTAGTTTCTATTCTTTTGAGTTTCTGATTCAGAAAAAGAAAGAAAACCAATGTAGGCCAAGAGAGCAGCCTCTCCCAGGGAGTCTCTTGGAGGCTGAGCCCTGAGCTAGCCTGAATTCCCTTCCCCAGGCTCCCCTGCCCAGGTGGAGCCGAAGGAGCCTCCCTGAGTCACCCACTCCTGCTGTTGGGACGCAGGCAGTGCCAGTGCATTGCCACCTCTGCACTTTCGAGCAGGTCTTAATGGCTCTGCCTCTGTTCAGACTGTACAGTGAAGCCCTGCATGCCTCCATAGTCTTGGAATTCCATCCCTTTTATTTAACATCAGGCTCCAAAAAACACCCAGAGGACCCAGGGGTCTCCCTTTGATGGCGAAGCCACCATGGCCATTTTCATGACCAAGAAAAAGAAGGGCTGCACACCCAAGGTCGGCAGGTCTAGAAGGAGAGCACAGATGAGTGGGTCAAAACTCACCCGAAGGAGACCAGGCATCCAGAAAGCAGGGCCAGCAGGTCTGGGAGGGTCTGGCCCATGTGGAGAACTGCAGGTGCCCAGAAAAACCACCCTTGTGAGGGATGTGACGGCAGGGAGGCTGGCAAAGGGGCGCCTGGTCCAAAGGGACTGATCACCCTGGACACTCACTCCTGATGACAAATCCCCAGGTCCTTTTGACCAAAACTATACAAGGAGCTGGCTCAGTTCAGTCTAGGCCAGAAGGAGGTTGGGGGTGAAATGGACCTTATTTTCCAAAATATTTTTTCCCATTTGACTAACTCAAGATATCTAGATCCAATTAATCATAACATTCAAGATGTTCATTTTAAAGGAGGACATTTTACCCTGGAAACTGGCAATTGTTACATGACAGATGCTGCAAGGGGGCTTCTGAGACCCCAAGGCCATGTCCCCTGTGGGCAGTGACCCTCGACATCGGGTTCTTCTTTGGCTGTCATTGTCACTGTGGATCTGAGGGAAGGCAGGGAAAGCTGGACGTGGCTCGAGCCTGTCCACTGGGTCTTCTCAGCTGGGCTCACAGTGTCCTTTCCATAGGTTATAGGCCCTGTCACAAGCAACTCCATTTTGCTGGAAAACTTGAAGCCCTTCAAAGTGTACTGTTTAAAAGTCCAGGCACAACTGTTTTGGACAGTGACAAAGATCACGAAGCCCGGGAATTTCAGCAAAGAATTTTGCTCCGAAACAGCAGCAGATGGTAAAACATCCTTCTTGTATCCGTTAGGAGCTGGGGAAAGAACACTTCTAAAATAAGAACAGGAAATATTCATGAACTGGCAAGTGTTGGGGACAGAGAAGATAGAGAAATGGGGGAAAGAGAGGACACTTTACTGCAGATAGGGCTGGGGATGTAGCTCAGTTGCACAGTGCCTGCCTGGCAAGCTTGAGGTCCTGAGTTCAACAGCCAATACCAAAAAACAAAACAAACAAACAAAAAACCCTGTGGGTGTAAGGAGCTGGGGCTGAGGCCTGCAGTGGCCAAGGTGGTGAGTCAGCTGACACATGCATCATTTTATTATAGGATCACCAACTAGCTGAGCGACCCTTATCTGAAATGCTTGGGATGAGGAGTATTTTGGATTCCAAATCTTTTCATAATTTCAAATATTTGTTTTAAACTGGGTGTAGTGGTGCACGCCTGTGATCTCAGCATTCTTGGAGGGCTGAAGCAGGAGGATTGGCACGAGTTCAAGGCCAGCCTTGGCTGGCTACACAGTGAATTCAAGGCCAGCCTTGGCTGGCTACACAGTGAGTTCAAGGCGGACCTGAACTACATAGCAAGACCCTGTCTCCAAAAAACCAAGCCAAACAAAACAAAAACAATAATGTTTGTCTATACATAAGGAGCTATCTTGCGATTGAGATCCATATCTATACACAAAAGTCAAGTATGTTTCAGGGCTGGGGATTTAGCTTAGAGGCATAAGTGCCTGCCTGGCAAACTCAAGGTCGCGAGTTCAATCCCTGGTACAAAAAAAAAAAAAAAAAAAGTATATTTCAGATATATCTTATACCAGTGATGGCAAACCTTTTAGAGATCAAGAGCCCAAACTGCAACCCAGTACTCACTTATCCCAAAGGCCCAACACTGCAGTTAAAGTTAATAATGAGGTCTCCTTTAAAAAAAAAACTCATACATTAACATCTTTTGTCTTAAAAACACAATAAGCTGGGCCTAGTGACACAGCCTGTAATCCTAGCACTTGGGAGGCTGAGATAGGAGAATGACTGTGAGTTTGAGGTCAGCCTGGGCTATACAGTGAGACCCTGTCTCAAACACACACACACACACACACACACACACACAAACACATGTGCCATAGATTCCCCACCTCAGTCCAAAGACTGAAAGGTATTCTACATAGTATTTTTAGTGCACTTGGATCTCTGTGACCTATCACATGAAGTGTGAAATTTTCTGCTGTGGGCATCATGTTGATGATCAAAAAGTTTCAGGTTTTGGAGCATTTCAGACAAGATTTTTTTGAATTAGAGAAGATACCCAATCTGTATTAATTCAGTGATAAGGGAAAGCTGGGTGTGATGGCGTACCCTGTAAGCCCAGCACTTGAGAGGCTGAGGCAGGAGGATCACGACAGGTTTAAGGCCAACCTAGGTTGCACAGTGAGTTTGAAGACTGAACTGCATAGTAAAATCCAGTTGCAAAAGGGGAAAAAGAAAAAACTAAAGCGTAAGACAGTGTAGAGGGCGGGGGACCAGCCATTCCCTGGGTGCCATCTGAGCAGCAGCAGGCGATAACTCAACTGGCATTTGTGTTGAGTGGGGGGTCATTTCACTCACTGTGACGTCACCTTCTGTAGCCTCCACCAGGCTGCAGCAGATCATCCTGATCTGTCTGGGAACCTTTGCGCTGCTGCTGGTGCTGACCGGGGGCTGTTTCCTCCTGGTCCGGAGATACCAAGGGCTGATCAAGTACTGGTTTCACACTCCGCCGAGCATCCCGTCACAAATAGAAGAGGTATGTGCACCTCCCTTGAGATTGCAGAAGGCACAGGGCCTGGAGCACAGAGATTTGAATTAAAAATGTCAGAGTGGCCAGCTGTGAGGGCACACACCCATAATTCCAGCACTGAGGAAGCTGAGGCAGGAGGATTTAGGAGAGTTAGAGGCCAGCCTAGGTTACATGGTGAGTCCAAACCAGCCTGGACTACAAAGTGCCACCCTGTCTCCAAAAAAACAAAAAAAGGATCTGCTCCTGGAGAGTGTATGTGATTCCTTGGTAAACCTGGGATACAGGGATGAGAAACACTTTTACTTTTGTTATCTCTAGAATGAAGACCCATGCCAAGGAGCCCAACTGTCAGACAATGGTGCCTCTAGGAAGCACCAGTGCGGTTCCTCTGTCAGGAGATGTTGAAAGCACACAGGTGCTATTTAAAGTGCCCCAGTGGGGCCTCCCCGATTAGCATTCTCTTGGAGTAACCGCGGTGCATGGTCTCAGAACTTACACTCAGCTGAGGCCGAGGAAGTGGGTTTATTCCTCCCAGCATGAATCTAAAACACAGGCTTTCAGTTGACTTTTCTGGGAAAGTGTGAAAAACAGCTACCAAAGGTGGCTGCAGTTAGATGAGAAGAATGAATCATGTTTCACTTTGATTTTTGAGGTTTTTGCAGGGGCACATGACCCCAGCGTGCTCCTCCTTATCGCAGCTCGCAGATCTCCAAGAGCCTGCGAGGCTCTGGTTTCCGGGGACCGTGGCCAATGGGCGGCTGCACATAGGGGCAGGGTGAGCTGGGAGCCGTGAGATAAATAAACATGCCTTGGTACGACACGGGTACCGGTACTGGCACCAGGGGCCACAGGAGAACGCCTGGGTGGCCCACGGCAGAAAGCTCGGCTGCGAGGAGGGGCCGAGCCCAGTGCCTCCAAACCATCCCACTTAGGTCCCCTTTCCTCCACTAAAGAGACATTTTAAAAACATTTTAGGATAGGGGCTGGGGATTTAGCTCAGTGGCATAAGCGCCTGCCTTGCAAGCAGGCAGTCATGAGTTCAATCCCTGGTACCGATAAAAAAAAAAAAAAAAAAAAAAAAAATTCAGGACTGATAATCCACACATCTACAGAGTGAGGATTCTTGCCTGCTTTTGCTGAGTTATGTCCTTCATGACTTTCAGCAGACGAATATGCTTGGTCCTTGGATTAGTGTTAAAAATATTGCTAAAATGAAGGGTCAGCTGGGTGACTTAGGAGTTGCCCTAAAAAAAAGGGTGGCACATGCCTGTAATTTCAGCACTTGGGAGGTTGAGGCAGGAGGGATACCCCTCCAGTTAAAAGCCAGCTTGGGCTACTGAGTTGGAAATGAACCTTCACTACATAGTGAGACCCTCTTAAAAAAAAAAAAAAAAAAAAAAGCCAGGCATGGTGACACACTCCTGTAATCCCAGCACTCCGGAGGCTGAGGCAGAAGGATTGTGGTAGTTCCAACACCAGCCTGGTCTACAAAGTGAGCTCAAGGCCAGCCCGAGCTGCACAGCCAGACCCTATATCAAAATGACAAAATAAATAAATACATGAATAAAATAGACAAGGGGTAAAGCGGTGGTGTTCTTGTATTAGAAACCATTTCAGGCCCAGGGTTCAGTGGTACAACGTGTATCTAGTATATACCAGGCCCTGGTTTCAATCCCAGCACTGCAGAAAAACAAGACAGAAAAATTATTTCATTGGTAGACAGAATAAATAAAATCAAATAAAAGCAAAAGGTCTGACATATGAAACTGGTAAGCTAATTACAATATCGGTTCTTAATCTTTTCTAGTACTTAAGGGACCCTGCTCAGCTCATCCTAGAGGTCTTGGACCAGGACAGTTCCCCAAAGGATGATGTCTGGGACTCTGTATCCATCATCTCTGTTGCAGAGAAGGAAGGAGAAGACTTGGAACCAAAGCACTGGTCCAGCCGGGCATCCCCAGAGGAGGACATTGAGCAGGGAAGTTAATGACATCCAGCCTGGAGCTCACACAGACCCACTCCCGGCTCCTGCCTCAGAAGCCTGCCATGCTGAGTGTCTAGAGGAAGACAGCTGAGGACTTTTTCTAAGAATTTCCTGACTCTCTGCGTTTGGTGGCAAACACCTGTGGCCACAGGACTTGGGAGACTGAGGCAGGAGGATCACTGCAAGTTTGAGGCCAACCTGTCCAAAAAAAATTCTCTGAGTTTTACAAGTTCCTAGGAAGATTCTACAGAAATCTCTTAAAAGATGAAGGTTTCTTTTAAACACTAAAAACACATGAAACTTCTTGCCTGCAGCATGACTACAGCAGGTCTGTGTCAGTTTCCCTGATGGTTGGTCCAGGCCATTTGGAGATTAGTTGTTCTTCTGAACTAATAACTGAGTTGTCCCAGTCTGACCCAGCCTGTCCCAAGGATGGATCATAGGTGCCTTCCAGTTTGCTGGCTTCAAATGTGATTCACCCTGGAGTGAGGACACAGCACTTGGCTAGCATGCATGAGGCTCTGGGTTCAGTCTGACACCACACACACACACAAGTAAACTAGTAAAAAATGTTTCTAGGGGCTGGGGATTTAGCTCAGCGGCATAAGCACCTGCCTTGCAAGCAGGTGGTCGTGAGTTCGATCCCCGGTACCGATAAAAATGAAAAAGACAAAAAAAAAAAAAAAAAAAAAAAAGGTTTCTAATAAATTTTTTTTAAAAATCTAGAAACCAGTATATAGGGAACTTTTTCAATAGTCTCTGTGCAGTTTTTCGTTCCATTTTGCCGTTTTTCGTTTTGGCCTATTTTCTGCCAAGTTTTAGCTTCTTAAACTTCCTATGTAAACTTGTGTTTTCTTAGGTAACACCCAGCATAGCTGATGGGGCCCCAGGGAACTCCCTGGCAAGAACACTGTGGGTGTCATGTGATTCCTTGAAGCGGGATGACGAGGTTTTCAGAAGTGATTTTCATTCTTGGCTTACATGCTGAAGAGCACTGTGCTAAAGAGAATAGGCTGACCTGTGATGTTTTCCACCAAATGTACACGAGACTGGATGGTGCTGGTGTTGGGGGGCTCTTTCGTTCAAGCGACACATGCTTGAAGCCCATCTTATGAGTCTTAACATTTAGGAAAGAGATGGGTGGATGCACCCCAAGCCTGCACAGGGAACACAGTGGCAGCCAGGCCTGCTTTGGGCAAAGCCCTGCTGGCCACCTTTGCTCAGCTCAGCAGCGGATGAGGAGATGCCGTCTGAAGGCTGATGAAGCTTCTAGCACTGGTTGGTGAAGTCAGCTTTTTTTCCTCAGTTGGGCCCAGTCTTGCTGCTTGGAAGCTGGGTGCTTTTCCTTTAGGCATTGTGCAATTGGCTGTCCAGGGAGGCAGGAGGTGTGGAACCCAGTGGTAGGGTGCCTGTCTAGCAGGCCCAAGGGTGTTGCCCATCATGGGCAACAAAGGAAAAAAGGCCAGTCCCGCCCCCAGCAGCCTGTGCTTGTAAGTCCTGTCTCTTAGATGCACCTTGTGTTGGCACAGATTTGCAGGAAGGGTTAGTAAGTGGGAGAAGTAAAAATTCTCTGTGGACACTTAGGACAGAAGCGCGTCCTCTGCTGACCATGGGAGGAGATGACAGGATGTGTAAACAGCCACCCCTCAGTATCCTTCGGAGATTACTGTAGGTCTAAGCCCCCCGCTTGGGAACCAAACCCACAGACACTCAAGTCCTTATGGAGAATGGTGTTATATCTGTATATGACTGACATACACCCTCTTGTACACTTTCAGTTATCTCTAGGTTATGTACAATACCAACACTATGCAAATTGACTAATCAATAGAATTAATACAGTATGCCACTAGCTTAAAAAATTAACTTAGGACTTTAAGTTTTAGTCAATCTAAGTTTAATTCTTCTAAGATTTTTTTAGTTGGAAGAAAAGAAAAAAAGTTTTTGGTGGGGGAGGGGATTGGTTTTTTGAGGCAGGATTCACTATGTTACCCAGGCTGCCAAGGACATAGTGAGGCCCAGCTGGCCTCAAACTCGCAAAGATCCTCCTGCCTCAACCTCCTGAGGGCTGGGATCATATTCATACACCACCACACCTGGCTCAGTCTTCTAAATCATCTATAACAGAGTATAACCTTAAGTGGCTGGGTAAATCCAGCCCATTCCATTATTGCATAGCCTGTGAACTAAAAATACTTTTTACATCCTTAAATTGGAAAAAAAAAATTTCATCACATGCAAAATTCAAATTTCAATGTCCATACAGTTTTATTGGAATACAGTGAGGTTATCGTCTATAGCTTCTTTTGCATGACAAGTCAGAATTCCGTTGCATCAGAGACTGTGTCGCCACAAACCTTAAGATATCTGCTATCTGGCCTTTTATGGAAAGAGTTGCTAACTGCAGCCTATTCAATGAACTGGTCATTGTAGAGGTGCAGAGATTTACTCGTGTAGTTTCAGGTCATGAATTACAGGTCCATGCATTTCACAGGGAGCTCTGGGGTCACAAGCTGTAGGCGGGGAACCCTTCCTTCTGCTGTGCACCTATAGATCACATCATGGACCATGCACTAGGGAAGGCTGGCTGGAGTCCAGGAGGATGCACTGCACGCACATAAATGGGAACGAGAGCCCTATACAAAGAACTACTCACCCAGAGATGATGTAGTTAGTTGGACTGAGGCCACTTGTAGACCGTAAGTTATTTTTCTGTGAATTAGATGAGGTCACCTATCTTAAAGACACTATTTCCAAACGCTACAAACTGTTAAGTAAGCACATTTCCTGTGCCTATTCTATGAAGGACATTACACACCCCTGAGGACCAGACGCTGGTGTCCTTGAAGATAAATCCCTGCGTGAGCTCACAATTACACAGGAAGTGCTAAGACCCAAGAGGGTGAAGGACAGAGGCTTTCAGAAGAGAAAAGGCCTCAGGGCAGGACCTGGAGGCCTGGTAGAGACCTAACCTAAGGGAGACATCCATCTGCAAGACACCACCTGATGTTCTGCCCTAGAAAAAAAATGGGTGCTGCTCTCTCCCCCAAGACTTCCACATGGAATGTTTTTCCATTTTTCTGAGATGGGGTCTCACTAATGTGGCTGGGCTGAAAATCCCAATAATCCCCCTGCCTCGTCCTCCAGAGTGCTGGAATTAAAGGTGTGCACCACCATGCCCGACTTCATTTCATTTTAAATCACTTCTCTGCCCGTGGTTTTAAACCTGCAGAATCACTGTGCAGTCACAGCACATTAAGGGCCCCTTGGGAGCTCCAAAAGGATAGTCGCTATCTGCCAAATTGCCTGAATCTGGGATGAGAACATCCTAACCCAGCCTTCCTGTTTGGCGTTTCCTGAAAACTCTGGAAACCCCCGAGTTTTCCACGGTGCAGTGGGATTTCCATGGCCCTGGCTGCAGGAGGAAGGCCTGGCTATCTGCAGGGGAGAGTAAAAGTGGTTTCCCATTCCTTGCTGAGATCTCAGCAGGCTGCCTCTGGGAGGGCTGGGAATGGCCAGTATGGTGACCACTGCTCCGGACAGAGATCTGCTCAGGGCACCTCGCCAGCACTCTAGGTAAACTGTCAGGGATGCAGCCTAAAAGCCCATCCCATTGTGGAGATAGGGCGGGCAGTAAGCAGAAATAAAGATGGAAAGGAGACAAGGAAAGTTGTGTTATTAAAACCATGCTTTTAAGAAAAGCCGCAGCTTCAGGACACAAAAATTACTCAAGCCTTTTTTTCACACTGAGGAAACTAAAAGCATAAACTTTTACAACAACTCCAAAAGCTCTTAAAGACTAGGAGCCTGCGTACTGGGCTCAGGGCTTTGCGCTGAGTGTACTTCTCAGGCAAACTCCACCCTCAGGGGCAGGGTTAGTGGGTGTCAGGTTGCAGCATAGCCCCCAACACCAGTAAATGGTCTGCATTGTCACCTTGCCTGCCAGTGGGTGACCTGCAGACAGTAGGCACACACAGCCTGGATCACTATCTTTAAGATGATCCAAAACCACATAAGTAAACCAGGCATGGTGGCACACACTCATAATCCCCGCACTTGGGAGGCTGAGTTTGAGGCCAGCCTGGGCCACACCGTGAGTCCAGACCAGCCTGAAATGCATATAGAAAGAGACCATGTAACAACAAATACAAATATCCTGGCCATAATGTCTCATTTTCTGAATACTTGCACTCCCAAGTATGTGCTAGCCTGAACTATACAGTGAAACACTGTGTCAAATAAACGAAACAAGCTGGATGTAAAGTGAGTTGAAGCCTGGACTGCATACCAAAACCCCCGTCTCAAAAAGACCAAAAAAAAAAAAAAAAAAAAAAAAAAAAAAAAAAAAAAATCAGAGTTTGAAAGCATAAGAGCCCTTTAAGAGCTGATGAGTGTTTTAGACATCAGCAGGCCTGAGGGACAAAGGGAAGGGTGAAATGTCCAAAATATCATGCTTTGTCAGTTATAGTTAAGTAAAGAAACAAAGACTAGTGTGTGGTGAATGTTAGGTCTCATACCCTACTGAAAGAGTTGCTGGCCCAGACCGGACACTTTAACCAGGAAAAGCCTCAGCCAAGTTAGGGGGCTCCTGCCTCCCCCGCCCCTATAGATTTACCTGTAATCCTATACCCCCATTCCTAAGAACCTGTCCCTGGCGCCAAACGTGTGCCAATGAAATACCTGTGCATCCCTAATGCCCCTTGGGGTCCACCCGAGACAGGGGCTACTTATGGGCCTCACTCCACGTGTTCGAGAGAAGAAAGGGAGAGTGTGTTCCAGAGAGAGACTGCCGGCCCCGGGGTGGAGGGGCGGGGGGGGGGTCTCTCCCCACATTCCTGAAATAAAGGTTACTTATATTTTATACTCCTTTCCACCACTCCTTTCACGGCCCTCTTTCCCTTTCCACTCCTTCCTTCCACCCCTTCCTCTTCCTCCTCTTTCTCAGACCTAACACCTACTCCACCCCACTGAGCAGTAACACCTCACTCCTTCCAAAACAAGGCACATAGCATCCCAGGGTGCCCTGGCTTCACCCAGTGGTAGCAGAAAGGACAGCATTCTTTAGAGACCCTTAACTTTGGGCTGAGAGCTGATATACATTAGAACTTATCTTTCCTAAGTTTCCTGTATGATTATGGCCCCTGCGAGAACAGGGACCACCTGAAAAGAACAAGGAAGATGTTTCTGAGATATCAACATTCCCAAGTAATCATTAAGGCTACCTGTAGAAATTAAAATATCCTACTTGGGACAGCTAAGGTAATTGAGGCGCATTATGTTCATCTGGATCCTTAAGGGAAAAACATAAAGTGTGACAAAGCTGCTACAAAGTATCTGCATTAGCAGACTCAAAACAACCCAAACCAGCAGATGGGGACTCTTTTTGTTTTTCACAACCTGCGTGCCACCTTGTGACCAAAAGCTAAACAGCACTTAGAGAAGAAAGAAAACGTGCTCTGCAAAACATCAGAAAGAGAGACAGGGAATACACTCAGCATTTCCTTGGGTTAATTCTAGATAGGGCAACAGTCTCCTGTCACACATAGGGCAAAAACGTAACTTGTACCTCCCCGAGAACTCTGGCTACAAACCAGAACAGGAGCCATGTCACAGAAATAGTATTCTCCTACTGCCCCTTTATCTCCTTTCTACTCCCAATTCACAGGCAAGTTATCTGACTTTTAGGTATCAGAGTTTCTCACTGCAAATTTGGGCAGAAGACAAAATGCAAGAGAGAGAGTTCTCAGTTCAGCAGGAAAATGCTCCTAAAACAAAGACCTCCTGGATGATTAAACTGGAAATAGTGAAAGAGGAAAGAAATTGAGACAGAAAGATCTGAAGCTCCTTAAGAGACAATTTTTCTTCCCCAGCTGCCCCAAATACCTTGCAGCCAGCTCAGCTCCATCAGATACCAATGGCCGCACCAGGAGACATTTGCTTGGGCTGCAGCGGGGCCTCTGATTGGATCTACCCCCGACTCCACCCTGCATCTCTTTGGATGATTCTGCATCTCTGTGTCCCACATTTTGTCTCTATTAAGTCCTCAAGGGGGCCCCTCCTCTACCCAAATAGAAACTCAATGTACACAGGAGCCTACTTTTTTCCCCCTGTGTAAGCAATTTCCCCCAAACCCTTAGCAGGTCAGTTCATGCAGTGTTATGGGTTGTGTCTAGATGTCCTCCCAAAGGCGGCTGGGCTTCAGGGGTGGCCAGATGTAGAATGCATAATGCTGGGATTAAGGATGTGTGATTACTAATTAGTCCACTGATTGGCTTTACATTGGCCCTAACCCCAGTAGCCTAGATAGAAAAGGGGCAGACGGAAGTTACCACTGTCTCTTGTTGACGCAATTTCTGGCTGGCTATCTTCTGCCTGCCCTGCTTTGCCATGGGCTGTTTCTCCTCTGTGATGTTCCTCTGCCACACCACTCTGCCTTGGAGCCAGCTGGTTCTGGACTGAAACCTCTACAAACTGTAAATAAATAAACCTTGCCTACCTTAACCTTGAGTGTTGGATATTTTGTGTCAGCAAGGAGAAAAGTAACTAAGACACCCCACTGTGCTGTCATGTAAGTCTAAATAAAACCTATTCTGGATAGCGCGATTGCCTATTTGGGGTTTCTATCTCAAGCACTTAACAGTGAGCTGGTACACTAAGCTGGCAACACAAAAGTTGACTGCATGGAAGAATAAGGATACCAAAGCAGCCAGCAACCAAGGCTACTGACACTTAAAAGACACTTAAGCAGCAGAGAAAGAACAGTAGGGAGCAAGGAAAAATTGCTGGGAGTCCCCATTTCTGGTCGCCAACTGACAGGTGAGATACACAGAAGGCAACTCCAGCCTTGTTTCAACTGTCATACTACAAACAAGTATCCTTGTTTATAGTCCATCTAATGCATTTTCCACACTATCGTTCTACTGGCCATGGGCAATTTCAGTTTAAAGTGGCCTCCAAGTTCTGCTGAAGAACTACTCTTAAACACACAAAGGTTGTGATGTGCCTGAGGGAAAAATCTATTCCAGAAGGTTCACTGAGCATGAGTTAAAGTGCTGTTGGACACAAGATCAATGCTAATGACCCAACAATGTATATTAAATAAGATATCCTTAAGCAGAAATACACAGAAAGCAAGGTCACCTATTGATCAGTTGAGGTCAATAATGAGACTATGGGTCTCAGAGGTGGTCTTCCCCCTAGATACAATGCCTCGGTATTCTCTAATTTAGTGGCCACAACTTTACTCAGCCAAGGAATAGCAAGGACTGTTATCTGGAAAGCTTTCCATTTAAAGTGTTGGGGTAAATGGAAAAAAAGAGCTAGAGGACAAAAGTATTTGGGCTTGCTAATAATGAAACTCAGGGACAGCTGAGGTGAGACATGTTAATTGGATTAATCTAATCATTTCACATTGTAGAGAAACATCGTAACTCTGCCTTGTATTCCATAGACATACTGTCAATAATTAAAAAGTGTACATTAAATTTAAGGGATAAGAGTAAGTAAAGATTCTTTAAACAACCGATTAGCACACAAATTAGTTCTTTCTTTATAAAATGGAAATATAAGATTACTTCTAAGAAAATGAGGGTGGCTATGAAAATTTGTGTCACAATTCCCTCCAGGTAAAAAACGACTGTAGGATCAAATACACGTCTCCAGTGATGCTTCAGGAAAGCACTACATCTATGTCACAGCAGACTATTCATCTTCAGTCAGAGAAATAAGGGAAAAAAATCATAGTGACTGAAATAGTAATTTCTTGGCTAGAGATGTAGCTTGGTGGTAAAGTGTGTGTTTGGCAAGTGTAAGGCCCTGAGTTCAATCCCCAGTACCAAATAATAACAATCATTTCTGCTTTACATAGCTTCTATTTCCATTTCTACTCTTTCCTATCTGAATAAATTACAAAGTGAAGAGACTGCTATGAAAAAATTGCACAGGGCTGAGTATCTTTTAACAACATTTAACTGATTATTTATAGTACATAAAATTAGCTCAGGTGTTCTCTTCAGGGCTTAACAGGTTGTCGCTTGAGATTAAAATCCCTAAGGCTGCCCCAAAATTCCACACACTCTAAGCAGAATCAAAATGAGTGATGACAGGAGAGTGCATGGAGGAACAGGGATAAATTTATACGACTGGCAGAGACTCGTATGAAGTAAATAAATCTATA